AAACAGGAGGGTAACGGGCCAAACAGTAGGTAACGGGCCAAACAGGGAGATAGCTGGCCAAACAGGGGGATAACTGGCCAAACAGGAGGGTAACGGGCCAAACAGGGGGTAACGGGCCAAACAGGAGGATATAGGGCCAAAATGAAGGATGAAGGGGAAAACAGGAGGACGAGCGGCCAAACAGATGGATATCGGGTGGTTTTGGAGGAGAGGGCCAAACAGGGGGTAACGGGCCANAACAGGAGGGTAACGGGCCAAACAGGGGGTAACGGGCCAAACAGGAGGATATAGGGCCAAAATGAAGGATGAAGGGGAAAACAGGAGGACGAGCGGCCAAACAGATGGATAACGGGTGGTTTTGGAGGAGAGGGCCAAACAGGGGGATGTTAGCTAACAGGGGCTAATAGAGTAACTGACCAAACAAAACAGCAAAACACGGGGAAAACGGATCAAGAGGTGGAACAGAAGGCCAGAAGGTGAAATATCAGGCCCACTACTCCGATCAAACAGGATTGACAGGATCCTAACAGGAATTACTAATCACGAACAGAGTGAAAATGGCTGCGACAAAATACCGAATATGCGATATGGCTAACCGACCAATAATTAAACATGTGTTACTGATTTATCAGCAGGCCATAACGAAAAGTGAAAAAGAGGTCAAAATCACCACAAAAAAAGAGGTTATGCAATAACCAACTAGAAAATATCATCCAGTCAGTGTTAAATAACAGTTTGCCTGTTATAACAGACGATAGTCTCATGGTTAGACTCATCACCCAGCGACTCATGACTGACTGCTCCCATCAACAGTTATGAGCTCTACCCACCACGAGATATTCTTGATATTTGTACAAAACCTCACTTATATCTGTGAGTGATGGCAGCGAAAAGGTAGCATGGCATGGAAGGCTGCGACGCTTTCGCTTTCTCTCGCGCGTCTGACCCTTGGGATGCTGCGAACAATGTTCATGTTGTGAACCGCCACATGTTCACCGCCACATGTTCACTAGATCGTCAACAACATGAACATTACGGACACACACAATCGGAAAAAATCATGGGTCATTTTGTCTAAATATTGACGCTTTTTCTTACAAACACCAAAAGCAGAGAGCATACAAGACTTTAATACGCCCTGGTGTCAGGCAATCTGGGTCAGGAAGACACACATCAAAGGAAGACAAAAGACCCATTAATTGCTCTGAGTGAATGTACTAATAATGATGTTGTTGCTGCCAGACTTTAATATTAAATGATGTGGCACACACCCACCCACACATCAACATCCTTGAGATCGCTGACGCCCACACATCACATCTTTGATGTTACATCAACATGCATTAAAACAACCATGTCTGATGTTACCACAATTAACCAAGCAAGCCTCTTGTAATATTTAGTTTCTTATGACAAATTACACACATTTCTTTCAAAATATAAACTTACATAAATAATGTGATGTTTAAGTAACTGGCCCAGTGACTTCCTTTGTGGCAGCAGCTGACACTGACAACGACCTTCACCTGACACGCGACCAGCGCTGACTGGCTGCCAAGACTGGCTGGAGTGGCTTGGCTGCACTTCATGGCTGTGACCTGGCTGGCCTGGCTGTTGACATATGACCTCAGGTTCTCAGCCATGTGGCTGCACCTCATGGCTTTGGCCTGGCTGTTGACACATGACCTCAGGTTCTCAGCCATGTGGCTGCACCTCATGGCTTTGGCCTGGCTGTTGACATATGACCCCAGGTACTCAGCCATGTGGCTGCAACTCATGGCTTTGGCCTGGCTGTTGACATATGACCCCAGGGACTCAGCCATGTGGCTGCACCTCATGGTTTTAGCCTGGCTGCTGACATATGGCCTCAGGGTTCTCAGCCATGTGGCTGCACCTCATGGCTTTGGCCTGACTGTTGACATATGACCTCAGGGACTCAGCCATGTGGCTTGGGCGTATACTGAGCGCAACTTCTATGTTCAATCTTAGTCAAATTTGCGTTCAACTTTTTGCGTGTTGTGTGAGCTGCGACTCAAGTTAGAAGCCAACAGCGGGTACGAAAGTTTGCATCAACGGTAATTGGATCTCCTGAATTTGGAATTCAAAATTTACATAATGAGGGAACATAAAATGGAGTTAAATCTGCAATAATAACTCGTGAAATACATACAGTGCGAAAAAAAAATTATAAATGCCGGGGTTCTCAAAATACTTCAAAACCACAATATTTTTAATTTATCCAAAAAATTGATATCATTACATATTTCTAATTCAAATTTATAGTTACTAATAAACGGAAAAATTTACTGCAATTGAATAGCATAGCTTTATTGCATGAGATATTGAAAATATTTCATTATTACCAAAATTTTTGCTAAATTGAAAAAAAATATAACTCAGTAGGTACTCACTGTAGTGAGTGACAGAGAGCGCATTTTCTCGTCGACGAAAACTTGAGGTCACGGACGGACGGACGGACAGACAGACAGACAGACGGACATGGCGAGCACAATAGTGCATTTTTTCCATAAATGAGAAAATGCGCTAAAAATGTGCCTGACCTCCAAACACAGGTACGTGTCGTGGTCACGTCAACGTACATAATAGCTTTCATCTTCTTCTAATAACTTGACACACACCCGACCTTGGATCCTAAATCAAGTCTATACTTTTTAATCGGCTGGGAATTTTTTTTTTATTTTAATAATAGCAATACAGGAAAATCTTTCTTTCGTTCAACAATGCCATGGTCATCAGCGTAGAAATATAATTAACATATCCAGTGAGAGAAATTAATGCTTAAATTAAAGTGAAAATTATCTAAGAAATAATTTAGTGATGGATTATTAGTCAGCTTCTGACTGCGTAGGAAATTCCATTTAGTGCACGTAAGAGAGGATGTGGCTTCGCGCATCAATTGGATGTAAACATTCATCATCGATCGTAAATCTTCTTTTTTTTTCTTGCCCTTTACAGACGCATCGAAACTCAAATTAGACAATGACGTTATATTTCATCAAAAAAGTTGTGTTGACAATAATGTCTTTTAATTTTTCCTCTAAAGTTTGTATATTTTTTGAGAATAGCTTGAAGTTGGTAACTGTCATGCGTTGGACCAGAGCGCAGTGGTATATGGAGCGACATTGTGACGCCCTAATCATGGTTTAGCGAACACGTTTAGAGATTGTCGTAAATCTTTACGGTGTATATAACGTAAGTGTTTAATTATGTTAGGTCTTGTTTAGGTTTTATGTCTGTCTTTGAATTTTGACTTATAAAATGATTTTATTCATTTTTAGTTTAGTCGAACTGATGATGGAGCTGGACTCCGAAATATTTTCAATATCGATATGGTGAATTTTCTTGGCGTTTTCTTTGCTTTTAAATTCCTTGTGAACTTGCGATATGAGCAGACTGATAATATAAGTACTTATATACGATGTAAGTGTTTAAAGGTTTAGCGTTCGAGTCGACGGTTTACCGTATGTTTAATGTTTATCGTATACGCACTTTCCATTTAGCATACGCTTTTATAGTTTAACGCACTCGTTTGCGATTTAGCGAGCGTTTCTAGAGTCCTTTGAACAATCTCTACTGGATTTTGAATGTCATTAATGCAACCTTATACCTTAACGGTGCATACAAGAATCTTGATTTGGTATTAGTCGCGTATGTAATTATATAGTTCTATCAATTATTCAACATTTAAAAATTTAAACACCAAGCCGAAATTTTGTATTACATTCCTTTTCTATGTTTGGTGTATAAAAACTTGAGTGATATAAGTTTATTATATGATATTAATCTATCGTGAATAAATTCTGTCTCTGGATTTTTGGGTAAGTTGTAACATCATCTAAAACAGCATTCAAGCCATGGTTGAATTAATACATATTGTATTAATTCAACCATGATTCAAGCGATTGTGAGGTTATCGTCATTCCATATTATGCGTTCCATGTCTGTCGGCATATGATAATTACTCTGCCAGCTTGAATCAGTAATCTTTTATATTGGGTAATGCGTAATGAATAGACGTCTCGGACAAATTTACGGCCGAACTCGCGGCCGGTCTTCCCAAATTCAGTGAGCAAGGAATATCTCCCACAGTAATGAATGTAGCTTGATGAAACTTGGTACATTTATTCATTAGGACCTAATAGAGATGTTTAGCTCGTCAATATTTTTGAAATTTCACCTTAGTTCGTTAGTTATATCGACGATACGTGACAAAATTTGCAGTGACCATGACATTGCTTCAAACGTACTACTGTACAGATTTGAACGAAATTTTGAATATAGAAACCTAACCTCAAAACGATGATATAGCGAGTGACAATTTCTAGATTCTGTCTTCGTGCGCGAGTTTTTCTTTTTTTCACTTCTACCACATTCGTGATTTAAACAGCAATACGCGAAATTTGCAGTGAGCATGAGAATTTCTCCAAAAATACTAAAGATTTTGAACGAAACTTCATATGTGAATAACTAAACTCCTAACTGTGATGTTTAGCTCGTGACAATTTTTTTTTCGATTTTGCCTTCGTTTGCGAGTAATACGGCTTTACGTATACTACTCTTGGTCAATGCAAGTTTAAAAATCGGTCCGAGAAAATTGAAGAACATGTATTCAAATTCACGTATCTATTTCATGCATATTTATTCTGATTGAAATGTAAAGAAAATAATGCGAAATGTAGATACCCTCAGATAACAACTTACATTCATAACAATAAAATAAAATAATAGTAGATTCATGAAAAATACCTGCATCGAAATAGACGAAACAGTCTTCAGAAAAGTTACATGAAACAAAGTTGAAAATTACCATTGCCTAATCTTAGACAATATTGATTTAATAGGAAAATTAAAAATTTTTAAATTCAACTTATTCATTGTCTGTCTTATTGTTATGATAATTTCTAATTTTAAATTAACTCCTGCTTAGAGGATTGGAACATCTCTCTAATTGGCTGGTAGTCTGAGCCAATAACCATAGAGGTGTCGGTAGGACACCGAATTTGAACTTCTCGTCTCGGCTCTGTCGGAATTTAATTGATTGGTATGATCTAAGTTTCTATATTTTCTACGTGATTTAATAATAGATTGTCTAAATAAGGTATGTTACCTTTTTCAATAAGTAACAGTATACTTTTATTAATTTACTCGTAATTATTCAGTTCGATTTCCGAGATAGGAACTCGGGTCAACCGTTCGGCGTTTCGCTGGGCCTAATTCGTAGTCGTTTGTTTTTATATTTTTCCTTTCACCCTCCACTCCCTACTTGAAAATGTGGTATATTTAGTCAGATTTAATATTTGTTTCCTAGCTTACTGCTATAGCAGATATACCTAATTGACTATTTCCACCAAATACCAATAGAATTTGTAATAGATATCCAACTTCCATATTTTAATTTTCCTATACTCGTGAGCGTAAATTAAGTTTAAGATTGCACCTAGCCTCCTAGGCCTAATTCCAAATCAAAATTTCATTATATAACCACATGTAAATAAATTATTACTCTAGTCAAATTCTGCAAAATGAAAGTTCATATATCCAAGATCAATCCAGTTAATAAGTATGGACTGTAGGTTTAGGCACTTTAGGGCACCTACCTACTAGTGAGGCTACTACCTAGGTACTAGGTAGCCGTAGCCTACTCACTACTCAGGCTACTCAATAGTACTCATGCTCATTTTGAGAATACCTAACTATCATCTAGGTACCTATCTATATACCCTAAATCATTGAATGCAGAACAGAAATGATGCAATTTACAAATTGATGGAGGAACAAAGTTATCTGCTTATTTGAAATTACAGGGCATTGCAAATTTGCAACAAACCAGAAATTTTTTAGAATCTGTTCATTTTTAATTTCCTTGTCTCCTAGGCTACTGGACCTACTCAATATTTCATTTACTAGTATCTTGTGTATGTTGATTCTGGTATCCATGATACTTCACTGGTCTACTTATACTTATAGACAGTAAAAATAATAGCTAAATAAATTAAATGATTTAATTCAGTAATAAAATAAATTTCAGCGTGGAATTCTGTATAGGTAATATAATAATATATTCTCATGTCAATATAAGAAAACGTATCGAAATACCAACCCTACCACGGCGTTACACCACCTTCCACTGCAATGAAAATTGATGAACTGAGCTCATTAGAAACTGCTGTTGCTTCCGAAATTGCAGGTGGTTTGAAATCCAATCCCGTGTTGCCAACGACTAATCAAGTTAACTAGTCGTTTATCTGTAGGCTAGCGGACACATTTTTGCAATGAATACGTTCTAAAATATAAAAAAAACACATCCAGCTTCATAAAAAATTCTCACGATTGGACAACACCCACAAAGTTTTTGATTTCACACAAAAATTATGAGATAAACTGCTACTCTTTCACTGCGTACATTCACATGGTGTTTTCTGTTTACGTATCACAAGACGGTGTCACACACTTATGTTTTGGTTGTGTCTAGTTTGATTTCACAATAAATAGAGATGATTCACATTCCATTCTGAGATTTAAATGATTGAAAGTTTTTTTAATTATAAAAACCTATTTATACGTTCCAGATTTGAATTTTTTCCATTTTTTGCCCTATGTATTATGTCTTAATAAATTCACTTCAAATTCTGAATGATTTCATCTGCCATCCCGCGTTTTTGAACGTTTTGTGTCTTTTAGAAAAATTTTTGTTGTTCAACATGGGGAAACTATTTCATTATATAAAACATAGAGCACGTACCTTATAGTGCATTAATGATACAATTTAATTTAATAAAAATTGATTTTTAATTTAAAAAATATAATCAGATTTTTAATTCAATATTTTTCTAATAGAATTTTATTCTATAGCATGTACCATCTAGTGTATTAAATAATAAAATTTGATTTGGTAAAATTTAATTGTAATTAATTTTTTAATTTAATTTAATTCTACAGCTTCAGCCGGTAAAAATGAGCATCATAGGAATCAAAGTAAAACTCATTCATTCATCACAAATTGAATGACATTGGATGGATTTGATAGGTATTTTAATAATCCTGTTCATTTATAAGAACGGAAATTACGTTTCTATTTCAGAATGATAATGGAAATGTTTCTACTATTTCAGAAACTTTTCTTGAATACACTTCCAAAAACTAAAGTTCTGTAATCAATGGAGTCTTTGAAATGACAGAATCGTTCAATTTAAAATTTTTAGCTATAAGAGTAAGATCGTCATTTGTCAATATGAGGAGCATTCATTCGTCATTTGTGAGGAGCTGTAAGAAAAAATTTGTTGTTTTTATGTAAAAAAATGTTTTTCAATTGAAAGAAATGCAATACTTGATTTTTGGAAATACGATGTTAAAATTAACAATCCGTATTAGAATTCAATAGACGTTACAATTACAGAATTATCTTCAAAAAGTTTGTTGTCGTTCATTTGATCAGAAGTTTTCATTCATTTGATCAGAAGTTTTCGTTCATTTGATCAGAAGTTTTCGTTCGTTTGATCAGAAACAGAAAAAGTTTTCGTTCGTTTGATCAGAAACAGAAAAAGTTTTCGTTCGTTTGATCAGAAACAGAAAAAGTTTTGTTTGTTTGATCAGAAACAACATAATTATTCATTCTCTTGCATTAAGTATACGAACGATTAGTTAATTCGTAATTTGTATACAATTGATCATCCCCCTAGATTATGCACCGTGAGCGGGAAAGAAGCTAGGTACCTATTCAATTCAGTAGCACGTTAGCTCACGTGTTATGTAGTTTGGCTCGTCTGAACTCTGAATTGCGTGTTTAGTGTGCATGATGGAAAACTCTGCCTAATGATTACTTAATGAAGTTTAGTTCATTGCGGTCAACTTAAGAGACAAATTTTCAACTAACTAATACATTTTATAAGTCTAATTTTAATTGTTGAGGGAAAGGTGCAGGCATACAACTTCCAAGTGATTACGTACTTTATAGAAACTGAGCAAGTTAGCGTACGTGTTTTAAGCCTTTAAGAAGTTCATTTTTTGCCACAAATAACGATGTTGGGTAGAAAAAGTGGTCTTGGTGGATCGAAATAATATATGAACCTTCGAAATTAGAATTCCATCCTGCTTATAGTTAAGTATTAATTATGAAGTCAACCATTGAGTCATTGAAGTTAAGTAGTCAACCATTGAGTCCTACTCAAAAATGAACTACTTATACATACTTAAAGTTATAGAACTTGAGTAAGAATCTAGATTCTAGAATATCTCTGCTTTGCCACTATGCTGAGTTGAGGGTGAAACTTTAGGAAAAGTTTCATGTAATAAAATCAAGTTCATCAATCCAGCCTGGAGTCTGGACTAACTTACACCAAGCCACCAACTTCAAAATGTTGGCCTTACCAAGTTAAAAAAGCTGTAGTTTTATTTTAATAAATTGAATAGGAATATAAAATTCAGTTGATTTGTTCATGTTACTTGGATTAGAATTTTCCTGCTTGTTTCTGAAATCTTGCGGCTTAAATGTGACAAATTTTCTATACATTTTCAATCTTGTGGCCCATTCGTGCATTTTTGTTAATGATTATATAAGAGGTAATTCATCTGGCAGAAATCTTGTGGTTCTGGAAATGGCAGGAAAGCTCTAGTCATGGCCCAAGGTTAGAAGTTGTCCATGCTTGCAAGCATGGAAAACTTCTACCATTAGGGCCGCAACTAGAGCTTTCCTGCCATTTCTGAAAACATGCAATTTCTGCCAGATGACTTAACTCTTATCTAATTGTTGAAAAAAGTGCAGGATCGGGCTGCAGGATTCTAGATGTACTGTATTGGAAATTTGTCCAGTTGGAGCTGCCAGATTTCAGAAGTGAGTAGGAAGATTCCAATCCTGCATGCTTGCATGTTACCTTGTATATTTTATACTAATTTTTGGCAATTCATAGTAGAATTCTAGGAAATGGTTGGTCACATAGATCCAGCAGGATGGCTGGAGTGGTGCACCTCTAATATCATATAATTTCAGTAGGTATAAAATCTCGCAGCTCAAATGTCATAATTACCACGTTTTTCTTGGCTTCGTTTCATGTCTGTCTGTCATAAAAAATTCAGACCTTTATTTGGAGCTCTTCTGAACATCCTAGAAACTTTAAATTTGGTATGCATGCTTATGCTACCTAACAATTCAAGATTTGATCATCAGAAATAATAATTTAAAATTTTTTTTTTTTTTTCAATTTTTTTAGAAAAAAAAATTTAATAAATGAAAAAACACGAAAAATTCACGGTTTGGAATTGAGTTTTTTCTCGAACATCCACACTTGCCAATCCTGGAAATTGATTTGAATTGCTAAAATAAAATATTTTTAGAAACCACATTTTTCTGGTTTTTACAATACTAAAAATAATGAGATAAAACAAATAAGAAAACTGTTAAAATAAATATATATAAAAATATTTATAAAAATCACATTTTTCTGGTTTTTACAAAACTAAAAATAGTGAAATAAAACAAAAAAATTTTTTTAACGCGTTTTCTTATTGGTCAAAAAAGATGAAAATTTACTCATACACAACATTTGAGTTATGTAAAATGTTATGTAATGGTATGTAAGAGTAAATGTTTTTCTTTTTTGTCTGTTAAGAAAACGTGTTTTTTTTTTAATTTTTTATTTATTTTTTATTTTTATTTATTTTTATTGAAAAAATTGCAATTGGCACATCACAAACATGTTGTTTCATAAAATTTTCAACTTCCACAATCCACAGTATATATACTTCAATGCTCCCGCCTTGGGCCACCTCTCACCAAAATATCATGCAGAACGTAATAAGTCGTTGAAGTAAACCAAAAGTTTTCATGAAGATCATGTAGTTGCAGTCGCATAAGAGCAGGATGACTGCATTATCACTTGCTCTCTTTTTAGGGTAAAATTAGAGATGTGGGTAACACATGCATGGGACTTGGTAAATAATAAGTTAGTTGCTTGTTGATGGCTTTTCACGGCATAGATATGGAATTCACGTCTCGAAGAAATGGAATCGCCACTGGCAAAACCATGAAGCTGCGGCTTGAAAAATCCAGTTGCGGCTTGCCAAGTAGATATATTTCATTCCTGCTCACTTGAGCAGGGTAAG